CAGGGCAGCGTGAACAGTGTGGTCTATGTTCCTGGCACCCTCTTCACAGCCTTACACACTGGACCGCACATGGTGGGTCACAGAAGTTCGGTAAGCAGCTAGAACCAAGGCTCTAAAACCTCATTGATGAATAAAAGAAGGGAACTGTCTAAGAGGACATTTCTGTGACCCTGCCCGGAAGAAACCGAAGCAATTTGGGAATCAATATATGTATTCACAAAAGGGCAGGTGAGAGTGAGGGGGCAGGAAGCAGCACATTCCAGTGAATCAACTGTGTCAACTGAGAATCTCCAAGTCTTCCTGGATGAGGTCCCCATACTGCCTCCTCAAGCCGTGTTAAATGACGATGGAGAACAAAGCACCCAGGGTCCCCTTCCTGGTTGCTGCTTTCCCCAACGAAACGACACAAGCTGAGCTTCTTCCCTCCAATGTCCTGTCCAGTGCTCCTACATGCTTTTATCACTCTTTGGGTCCTTGGATTAAGAGCAATTCTCTCTGTGTCTGTTTCCTTGCCAAGTTTACAATCTTCTCGAAAGCAGGGACAATGCTTTACCGTGTTTGTATCTCCCATTGCCCAGGGAAGGCATGACACATGTACATGGCTAGGCATCATTGATTGCTTCCTTCTTCTCTTTCTTATGTGTCAGGAAATAAGCTACCTGACTTCAGAGTCTAGTAGAAAAGACCTATAAATAATAATGAGTGCTTTACACAGAAAGTTATAGATCTAAGTGTTGCTGTGGAGCTAGAGAAGATGTGCTCAGCTTAGCCTGTAAGGACCAGTGATGGTTGATGTATTGACCGAGACGGAGAGAAGGGAGGAGGCATTCTAGGCAGAGCAGATGGCAAGTGCAGAGAAAAGTAGATGCTCAAGTGTCAGACAGACAGAGGAGCCGAGGGAGAAAGGAGAAAGGTTTTGTGCAAGCAGTTTTGTGTGGCTAAAGAAATTTTCACTTTGTGTCACCAGTGGAGGGGGCTGGGATAGAGGAGGGGGAAGGTTAGGAGCTCTGGAGCTGGATAGCCTGCATGGTCCAAATTTCAGCTTTGCCATTTATCAGCTATGTAACTTTGTGCTAATGACTTAACCTCTTAAGCCTCAGATCCTCACTTGTTAGTGGTATATTAATAGCACCTACCTTTTGGGAGTCTTATAATTAAATGGCCTACTACTTATAAAGCACTTAAAACAGTGCCTGTCATGTAATATGTATTCAATATAGAGTAGTTATTATTGTTACCTCACTGCTCTCTCTCATTCCCTACTTTTACTCCAATCCAAGCAAGGCTTATCAATTCTTCCTCTAAAGCAAATACCAAGATCATCCTCTTTTGTCTCCACCTTGGTCCAAAGAACTATGACGTCTTTCCTGAATTCTAGGAGTAGCTTCCTAAGGGCTCTCCCTGTTTCTGCTCTAGCTCTGTTATGATCTGATCCACAAAAACAAGGACAGTGATCTTTTCCAAAGGTAAATTGGGGGTCACTCCACTTAATCTATTGTTTCTCATCACACACTGCCCCGACTATTTAGAATTCTTATCATGACCTTAAAAGGTCTTACTAATCTGCCTCCTCCTTGCCTCTGTAAGCCTACATCACATCCCCTCTCACGATGCTTTAGCCTCTGTGTGTGGGTGTGTCAGTCTCTCAGTGGTGTCTGACTCGTTGCGACCCCATGGTCTATAGCCCGCCAGACTCCCCTGTCCGTGGAATTCTCCAGGCAAGAATACGGGAGTTGGTAGCCAGTCATTCCCTTCTGTAGTGGATCTTCCTGACCCAAGGATCACACCCACATCTCTTGCATTGCAGGATTCTATACTGTCTGAGTCACCTGGAAACCCCGCTTAAGCCTCTAGTTGCCTTGAACTCGGCAAGTTTGTCTTGCTACAACCTTTGCATCTGCTGTTCTCTCTGCCTTCCCCACCCCTTAGTTTGTTTTCCTCCTTATCTTGTAGAAACCAGCTCAAATGCCAGAGGAGTGGACTTTAGTTTGATACCCCAAACTGAAGTAACAAGGTCCCTGGTTTCTACATTACTCTGGTAAATTTATTTCCTTTTATGTCTTTTTTGTTATTTATTCTGCCTTCCCTAAATCTGCCCCCAGAATCTGTGTTCCATGAGAACAGATACAAGACCTTTTTCATTGCTATAGTCCTACTTTCTATAATAGCAAAACCCTCTCCTCATATACTGCTGTTGCTGCTAAGTCACTTCAGTCGTGTCCGACTCTGTGCAACCCCATAGACGGCAGCCCACCAGGCTCCCCCCACCCTGGGATTCTCCAGGCAAGAACACTGGAGTGGGTTGCCATTTCCTTCTCCAATGCGTGAAAGTGAAGTCGCTCAGTTGTGTCTGACTCTTAGCAATCCCACGGACTGCAGCCCACCAGGCTCCTCCATCCATGGGATTTTCCAGGCAAGAGTACTGGAGTGGGATGCCGTTGCCTTCTCTGCCTCATATACTAGGCACCCAATAAATACTTACTGAATTAATACTGAATGAATTAGAAGAAAGTAGGTAAAGAAGGGAGAATGTCAAAAATTATCACACTTCTTCAGTAATCCAGTGAGAAATTATGAAGCCCTGGCACTGCATTTCAACCTTGGCTCTGCACTGGAATCACCTGGAGAGTTTTAAATACTGACATCTGAGTGCCATCCTCAGTACTCCTGATTTAATTGGTAGATGCATCCTGGACATCAGGATTTTTAAAAACTCTGCAAGAGATTCTAACATGCAGCCAAAGTTGAAACCACTGCTCCAAATGCAGAAGGGGGATATAGAAGAGAGGGTGAGTGCAGGGCTATTTAGAACACAATAAGCAGGACTTGGTGGTTAATTATGAATTGTAACTGATCAAAAAGTGGGTGCCTAGGAAGAATCCTAGATTTCTGGCATGGTCCTGGGTAAAAGATAGAGGCAAGTTTTGAGAAAAAGATAACAAATTATGTCTTGGACAGGCTACATGTGAACTGCTTGGGGGGATTTGAGTGGAGCTGTTCAACAGATTGTTTAATAGATTTACACTTTCTAGCGAAGCACAGGGCTTCCCTGGTGGCTCGGCAACAAAGAATCCATCTGCAATGCAGAAGATGCAGGAGACATGGGTTTGCTCCCTGGGTTGGGAAGATCCCCTAGAGGAGGAAATGGCAACCCACTCTAATAATCTTGCCCAGCAAATCCCACGGACAGAAGAGCCTGACAGGCTACAGTCCATGATATCGTAAAAGTAGGAGACTGAGCAACTAACCAACAAGAAATGTAAGAAAAGGCATCTCCGGAAATTATGACAATCAGAACACAAGACCATTCCCACTCTGCAGAGCCTCTATACTCAAAACTCCCTTCCAAGCCAATGCCCCATCTGTTCTGAAATGTTCAACATGTTGACATAATTACAAGAAGAATTATATAGTGTATGGGTACCATTCTGACAGGGACAGAGTAAAGGGACAAAGTAGGTGATTAAATAGTTAATCCCACTTAGGGGACTATAAGTAGAAAAAATATGGGAAACCCTTGTAAGTTAATGATTACTCAAGAAAGCAGGTTTGCTGAACCACAAAACCAAGCAGGCTTGCTTAGCAACAAAACCATGCAGCAGAACACTAGACAGGCGTCCAAACAACAAAACAGTGGTGGCATGAGACCCACATACCGCCCAGCGAGCACAGTAAGTTAATGATCCCCAGGACACGTTCTCTATATGCATAAAAACAGTTATTTGTGGACCTAGCTTGACCATGTAGGGATAAGAAAACTCTCCTGAATAACAAGGAGGAGTTGATGATGATGGAAGCACAGCATCTACTCAAGAAAGACAGAGAAGCTTTTCTCCTCCTCCCCACTTTTCCTTTGATTATGAAACGCAGCCCAGTAAGTTCTCAGGGCACAGCCTTTCCCATCTGCCACTTCTAAACCTCATTGGTTTTCTATTCTAATAAATCACTTGTCTATCACTTTGCCTCTCAATTCTTTTCGGCGCTGAGACATAAAGAGCTACATAGCACCAGAGCTCTGAAAGACACCGCGGTTTCAATTCTATAAATCCATTTAACTTACTATTCTTGTACTACCTATAGGCTTAAAGTATCCCACTTAATAAACTGCTGGCAGCCTTCAAATAGCACTGAAAGGAATATATAACAGCTTTAAAACATCGGATAAATAAAAACGAACATATCCATGATTACTTCAAGATTTGTGGTCAAAGATACTTAGACCTAAACTGCCTAGATTGTTTAGCTTTGTAATTGGTAAACATTTACTAGGTTACCAAAGATACCAAGTATGCTCACGGCTCCTTTGTGTCTAGTTAGACTCACTAAAACAAGGATTGACAGGGTGATATAGTTAAGTAACAGATGGCAAAAAGACACACAGTCCAGCATGTATGACATCCCAATTTCTCAGTATTCCAAAGAGTGACTGAATCTTGAAATCAACTAGGAAGGAATGGCCTGAACGTGTTTATTCAACTAAGAAGAACTGATAACCAGTCATGTGGAGGTTAAAAAATTCAGAGAGGGTATGACTGGCTTTTAGGACGGGAATGGACAGACAAAGTGGATTAAAGTCATTTAGAAGGTATCGAACAGGACTGAAATATGAATTCTGAATACTTAAGCGACTTCGTGATATCAAAGAGGTGGAGAAAAAAAAAGAGGCGAGTGGTATATATTCTCCGAACCCTCACACAGGGTGTTAAATTGTGGCTAAAAAGCGCTGCTTTTAGCAGTGCCTGCGCTCTATTAAAAGAAGGTGAGGGGGGAACTCTGAGAGGACGTTTCCTCCAGCAGGGCGAAGCAGCTCGCTGCAGCAACCCCTCCCTGCTCTCCCTGGGATCTGCCACTCTAGCAGGTGAACCGCCAAGAAAACAAAAGGACTGAACAATGGCGTGCGGGACGCCGAAAGTCGGGGGGTCCCCAAGTTCATCACCTCCCTACACCCCGAGAGCGGCTTCCAGGCATTCCCCCCCTCCCCCGCCCCCCAACCCGTCCAGAGACACCTGCCCCAGAGCCCGGGAGAAGTCCTGCGGGCAGAAGGGCAGGAAGGGCCGCTGACAGCCTCGGGCGGAGGTCAAGCAGGAGGCGTGGAGGGGGGCGCCACACTCCCGGCCACCCGAGCCGTAGGTGGGACGCTCCCGTGAGGGGAACCGGCCGAAACGAGCGAGGGCGAACGCCCGCGTCCCCCCGCGTCCCCCCGCGTCCAGCGACGGGCCGGGGTGGGCGTGACGCCATGACGCAAGGCACGCGGGCGGCGCTCCGGGGCGGGGCAGGCGCGGCTGGGCGGGGAGGGGGCGGGAGGAAGGAGTGGGAGGAGGGGGCGGAGACAGCGGGGGCTGAGGGAAGCGGGGCGGGGGGGAGAGAATGGCAGTTGCGGCGCTGATTCCCGGGAACCGCCGTCAAGACAGAACTGCGGAGGAGGAGTTCGGGAAAGCGGCCATCGGGACCCCTCCTCTGCGTTCCCCCCGCCCCAGCTGAGAGGCGCCTGGGCGGCTCTGAGGAACCCTCCTCCGTGTTTCCTCTGGCCGCTGCCGCCGCCGCCGGGAGATGGGCCTGCTCGCCCGCAGCCCTGCGCCCTGCCGAGGAGTTGAAGGTACGGGCGGGTCCGGGGTGGGGTGAGTGGGGGAAGGCTGCACCCGGGAGCCGGAGGGCAGGGGCGCGACTCCCGTTTCCGACGCGGGGCTCTCCGGCCGCTCCCCGGGACAGAAATGGACTCGGAAATCCCACGGGAGAGGCGCCCCTTCTCGCGCTCTGCGCGGCGGGGCAGGGGCGGCGCCGGGGGTTGACGGGCTGGTTGGGGGTCAGGCCTCGCGCTGGATCCGCGGCCCCCCCTCCCCGGCTCGGCCCCGGCGCTGGCGGCCGCGCGGGCGGGAGGCGAGGCTTGGGATCCGCCCCGCGAGCCCTGTCCTCCTGGCCGGGGCAGTCTGGGGCGACGGCGGCCAACCCGGCGGTGTTGTGACGGGGGCGGAGGCGGCGCTCCGCTCCGGCACTTCCCCGGCCCCCCGGAGCAGGCGACGCGGAGGGCGGCCGCGGCGGGGAGGCGGCGGCGGGGGCGGAGCGCATTCCTGATGGGTGAAATCGGCTCTTAACGGGACTGATTTCCGGGCCTCGCTGCAAAATTCGGAGCCGGAGCCAACGCCCCCCCACCCAACCCCCCACACCCGGTGCAGCTGGGGGCTCCCTGGGGAAAAGAGAGAGGCATGCCCCGGGGAACGTTCATCCGGGGGACGGCCACCCCCTGCAAAAGCAGAAATTAAACCGACGAAAACTGGTGTGGCCTTGGGGTAAAGTATGTCTTAAGAGGGGGGTCTTCCAGGATTGTCTCTTCGTGCTAAACCTTGAGAGATTTCTCCGTCTTCATCCAGCAAGTAATGCCACTGTTTTTAATTTCCAGTTTTTCCTATCATTTGAATTCCCCTCTATCGTTCCCCATCCCCTTTCATTAATAGGAGGAAGGAAAATAAGTTTAGGGTTCATTAACCTCGCGACAAGGGCAGTAAATAAAAGAGGGAAAAGAATGGCTATATATGGGAGAAAGGAAGATCTTATCCGCCCCCCCCCCATTAGCTCTTGAAGATAGAAATATACGAACGATGCTTTATCTGGTTAATATTTACTATTCAGAATGTTGCTGAAAGTCTTGTTGGGTGGACGTTAAAAAGGACAGCGTTTAAATGCTGCTGCAATTTTCAAACCCAGGTGTTGGCTGCAAATGCTCGTGTTAAATGTTAGTAAACAGTGGAGGAATAAAGTGGTTCTTTCCTCTGATCGGTTGCCTTAAAATGTTCCTGATTTTCCCTTTCCATTCCTTTTTTTTGGGGGGGGGGGGGGAGTGGTAAGAACATGACTGTGTTTTCATTTATACATATGTATTTTTTTATTTTAACTGAATTCCTTGACCCATTTTGTTATGTGAAGTCTGATGGTATGCCCAAGTTTCATTTTCAGTTTTGCCATTAACCATCTTCATAAGCATCTTTCCACTTCGGTTTATAAGTCAAGCCATTTTTACCGTATTTGCCAGTTTATGCTTCCTTAACACCCAGCTGTCAGAACTGAATCGAAATGTAAATATTTCTATTTAGAAAATGGCGATGATCTATTGTTAACATTTCAGATGTTCCTTGCCTGCTACTTACAGTTTAGATTGTAAAGATTTAGAGTCTTGGGACTTAATAAATAAACCAAATTATGCAACAACAACAAAACCTCTTTTTGTTAGCTTTATTTCTCTTTTTATTACTTTATACAATGTAACTGAAATTTAAATTTCATATGTCCTCAGGAACTGTTTTAATATCTTAACAAAGGGTCTTTTCTGAGGAAAAACTACATTTGGCCAACTAATGTTAGTGTGTGTGCTTAGTCGCTCAGTCCTGTCCGACTCTGTGACCCCATGACTGTAGCCCACCAGGCACCTCTGTCCATGGGTATTCTCCAAGGCAAGAATACTGGAGTGGTTTGGGAGTTTTTCAGTATCTGTGACTTCCAGGAAGATTCCAGTGAGGTTATATTTTAAAACTGTAACATTATCTTAGGAGTTGAAACACAACTCAATTTTTAGTCTACAGATAGTAGCTATTTGAAATATTGGTGTTTCCTTTGGATGGTGCTTCACTTGATCATTAGAGTTTATGTAAAGAACAGCCCATTTTACTGTCTTTAGACCAGTATTGGAATTTTTAAAATTTTGGTGGTATTTATAGAATTTTGGGTGCCTTTTTACTAGGTTAAATGAAACAATGTTTTTTTTTTCTACTTAATATGTGAAAGATACTGAGATAAGTGTCTATTTATAAAGCTACTTGAGCATTTTAGTGGAAAATAAATGCAAATCACAAATTTGAAATAGAGGAAGTTGTAAGGTAATACTTTTGTAGTTGTTGATTAAGACACGTGGGGTCGCCTCTCTGTAATGGGATCAAATTGAAAGATTATCTGTATGGAGTTGTTAGGTGGAATTAAATATAGGTAATTTGAAACAAACTTATCATTTGAAAGAATCTCTTGTATATTATGGCAGGTTCTGATTTTAAAGCACTTACATTTATCACAGAAATTCTTTGGTTTCTCATCATCCCTGCCCACCCCTATCCCACTCCTCCCCAATTTGGAGAGCATTGAGGATTGAAAATGTAGTTTTCTGAATTTTCTAGGGAGGAGAAGGAACAAATATTTGTGACAACATGTAAAAATCCTTAGGTGCTAGGCAGAAAGTAAGCTGGGGATAAATTTTGTCACATTTATATCTGAATTGCCTTCTTCCATTTCTTCTCTACTCAGATTATAAAGGAAATCTTAGAAAATTCTTATTTGTTTTTCTGATGTTTCTGACAAGTGACAATTGATTGTCAAACTCAGGCTGATTTCCTGCTTACTAAGCTTTATGATCTTTTATCATTTAAGGCCCATTTAAAAATTAGGCCATTTTGGACTGAAGGCCAAAAAAAAAAGTTGTATTTCTAACTTTATATTTGATTGTATTTGCATTGTATTTGGTAAACTAGCACTGGTAGTTTAATGATGGTCTGAAAGGACTCATGATCGTATATATAGTATTTTAGCTTAAAGGTTTGGGTTTGATCTTTTTTAAAAGCAAAATGTTAATCTTATTACTTATGGAGATCAGCTAAAATCTCCTTAGGTAATTTTTTTTCCTCCAATCCGGAGTAATTATTATTTTTCTTTGGCCTTTTAGTTTTTAAATTATGAGGTATCAGTTTGTATATGTAGCTTTGTATAATGTTGAAACAGCTATATATAACCACACCTGCACAGCTAAAAACCAAGGGATAGTATTCCTTTGCTAAACACATCTGTATTTCAGATGATGGTAGATTTCAACCAAAAACATCAGTGAAATCATTTTGGGTGTTTCAAACTTGGAAACTTTGTTTCTCAATAGCTATCATATGTCCATAATACTTTCTGTATTAAATTAAGAAAGATTAACACTTTTGATAAAGTAGTTTTTGCTTGCTCTTTGTAGCTGTCAATAAAACCTGAACAATTGTTTATTGGTAACATTTTCTTGAAAGTTATTAGCCTAGAAAACATTGTATACTCTTGTCCTGTTGATGTTACCTAATATTTTGTTTTAAAAGTCATGTACTCAAGAAATGCTACTTGTTTTTTTTTAAATTTCTACATGATTGTTTTTTATGTGAAAGTCTTAGTAGGACAAAACCAATAAAGAGTTGTTTAAGTCCTCAAATAAATTTGTGTGTTGAATTTTGATGCAAAATCCACAGCCTGATTTGTTGAAGCTGAAAAAAAACTTTAAAACTTGGTCTTGGGTCCAGAAATCTGAACTCAGCCTCTTAAAATTATGGACACTTCGTATTTTCAACCTCTGTCCTTCTCTGGAGACCCCTGAATACTTACATAATATTGTAAGTCATGTATCACAAAAATAGATGACCAGTACTATAAATGTACTGATGATTCATATTTTGTGATTTCTAAGTCAGGTATTGGCATTTGCTCCCCAAATGGTGTTCTGTTATTCTTATGCATTACCATAAGTGAGATAATACATATGATATATGTAGTGGAAGTATAAGAGATAATGTAAACTCTGTGATGGCAGGGACCATTATCTTTGTTTATTCTTTAAGTCTCAGCATTTAGCATAGGCCTGACAATGATAGATGTTGGATTAAGTATTTGCTAACTGAATAAAGTATGTATAATGTAATTATATCATACCCATAGTAGGGCTATCTAATGGAAATATAATGTAAGTCATAAAGATTTTCTTTTAGTCACATTAAAAAAGTAAAAAGAAACAGGTGAAATTAATTTTCAAAATATATGTTATTTAATCCAACATATACAAAATACCATCTCAGCATGTATTAATGAATGACTTTACATTGTTTTATTCATACTAAGTCTTTGATCCACTATGTGGTTACACTAGACAGCATAGCTCTAGGAATATTTTGTTTGACATGTTTGTTCCTTTCCACTGAAATTCTTTGGTCTTTTTGATAGTCTTTTTCTAACATGTCTTTTGAATCCAAATACAGAAACACAAGTATCATTGAATTGGAATTACTGTAAACTGAGTCAGAATACCTGACTT